CCGAACCTAACCTAACCTAACCTAACCTAACCTAACCTAACCTAACCTAACCTTATCTACCTACCTACCTACCTACCTACCTAGCTAAGGTCGGGTCGAGGCCTCGGGTTTTGCGGTAGGGGTAATATTTAGCAAGGGCTCGCCTTACAGAATACGTATTAGTCTTATAACATACTACCTAGCGAGTAGTGCAGCAGTGCATTGCCAGTGTTGCCCCAGTGTAGCCATCGTCATTGCCAGTGTAGCCATCGTCATTGCCAGTGTAGCCATCATCATGAGGTTGAACCTGAGGTGCAGTGAGAGGTTTGTGACATATAGAGAGGGTTTTAGCTAAAATATAGTAAATTTCGGCAGTTTCTGTGGGAAATGACACGCGTTATTCAGCGTTATTTGCCGTGATGGTGCCTCGTCTGGGCAATACAGAGCGTTATTTGGCGTTATTTGGCGTTATCTGGGTATCAACGGGGGTTCCGGGGGCTTTTTAACCCAGTTCATGTGGCTCTTGCACAATTGTGGCTCCAGTGATTTGTTATGTCACTCATGGGGCCTCTTGCATTGCATCGAAACAGGACATTGCAGGCAATTGCTTGTACATATATATAGCACCTCTAGCCAGCCAGTGCGGCTGAGATCTAGATATGTCTGCTCCTGCCGAGCCGACGGCCGAGTCTTGTCTAACACTATCATGGTGCCCAGTCATGTATTGTGGCCGGGTTACAGGGATACTATAGCTGAGGTCCCGAAGCGAGCTTTGAGCAACCGTGCTCTCAATGTGGGGGATGAAATTGCCAAAGCCCTTTCCAAAGCAGGACTCGTTTAATACTTGAAACCTATCCAATCCCTGTCTCCAACCCACGGACCCTGAATCCAAGCCTTAATGTCAACAGGACTTCCACGTGTGCCGCCATCCACCCCGCCTACGGCGATCAAAGCTCCCTCACCGGCAACCACTGCTGCTAATGCCCCAGCCCTGCGACGACTCCGCGGAAAGAGCCAGCTATCTGATGCAGATATGAGTGGCGGGAGCAGCAGGCCGTCGCTGTCCTCCGGGAAGTCATCGCCTGGGAAGCCAGGTGCAGGTATGGCTAGCGCCAAGTCGACACCCATGAAGAGCCCTGATTTGAAGAAGGTGAAGATCGTCAAAGCTGAAGGGCCCACTAGCAGTAGCCCCGGGCCCAAAGCCAGCCTAGCCCTGCAATTTGGTGTTGTGCTTTGCCGGCAACTTAATGTACCTGGGGTTTAGGGTTATGGTTTAGGAATTTGGTGTTGTGCTTTGCCAGCAACTTAATGTACCCTGGGGTTTAGGGTTTATGGTTTAGGAATTTGGTGTTGTGCTTTGCCAATTAATGTGCCCTGGGGTTTAGGGTTTATATGGTTTAGGAATTTAGTGTTGTGCTTTGCCAGCAACTAATGTACCCTGGGGTTTAGGGTTTATGGTTTAGGAAATTTAGTGTTGTGCTTTATTTGCCAGCAACTAATGTACCCTGGGGTTTAGGGTTTATGGTTTAGGAATTTAGTGTTGTGCTTTGCCAGCAACTAATGTACCCTGGGGTTTAGGGTATGGTTTAGGAATTTGGTGTTGTGCTTTGCCAGCAACTATAATGTACCCTGGGGTTTAGGGTTTATGGTGTCTTTCATGGCCTGAACCAACGCTAACTAAACCCTAAACTGCCCTAAACCCTAGTAAACCCTGCAAGCTGAACCCTAATTTTAGGGTTCCACTCTCTCCAAGGCAGAGCTGGACGTTTCAACTTCGAAGATCGAGCCCGAGCCAGTGCCAAAGCCTGCTGCTCCTGATGCAGGCTAGCTATAAGTGGTACGATTTCACGATCAATGTCCGATCTAGATCTGTAGAGTTGCTCTATATTCTAGCCTAGGTGCCACGCTACGTTCCATGGATACACAGTCGACCGTGGAAGCTCCGACAACAGACTTTAATGACAGCCAGCCACCGCCTGCAGAACCCGACTCAGGGGACGTGTGGCCTGCGAAGGACACAATTCGCATTATCGTCTTCGAGGATCCGGCCTCCTTGCTGCCAGGCCGTTTCGCGAACCTGCCGGATGGGTTCACGACAGAGTGGGTGGCTGAGATGAAGCAGAAGATGACGGGGCTTCTGGGGCCTGCTGATGTCCCGAAGCTTCGGAAGGCTTATGGTTTGGCCCCCAACGACGGGAAAGCGGGGCCTGACAGCATCGATGTGATTTTGCAGGAGTTGCTAGTTACCTACAACGAGGCTTGTAAGGTATCGACAGCAGTTCTTGTTTATGAGACTTCCGTGCTGGCTGGTCTTGACACGCAGAAGAAGAAAGGGGATGCTTTGGTGCAGCAGCTGAAGTTGCTTACTCAGCAAGGCAAGATGCCCCAGCCAGAGTCTGCAAAGAAGATTGCAGCTGTGAAGGAGCAGATGTTGTGTGCCATGGCCAAGGTGCAAGAAGACATGACCGAAAGGTTTTCAAACAAGTGTTCGGTTCAGATGATCAGTGTGGATGCAATCATGAAATTCTTTGAGATGATCCGTGCTGCCCCGGATGCTGGTGGTGTCAGTGGGTCCAACGGTGATGGGCATGAGCCAGCTTCAACTGCAACCGAATTCGATGTTGCGAACTTCGAGAAGGATCTTGCAGCCTTCCTAGAGCCAAAGGACCCCGATCTTGCGAACTTCGAGAAGGATTTTGCAGACTTCGTAGCTGCAAGCCCGACGGACCCTCCTGCGGCGGTTTGCAAGGACTTAAATTTGTTCACGCTAATGTGGCATGTCTAGTTGCTATATAGCTGTTCGGAGTGGCATACGCAGGCTGAGTGCACCGTGCCTCGGCATCAGCATGGCCTTGACGACCCGATCTTTGCCACGGTGGTGATTGATGACGATTCGCCTGCAGCAAACAGCGCCGACACCGCTACCGCTGAGACCCAGCTGTTGCCTCACGAGCCCGCCAGCAGCCCCGAGTTCAAAAATGCTAGAGAAGCTGTCATGTCTCGGAAGCCTACGATCGAATTGGGAGTGACTTAGCCATCAACTAGTGAACTGATCATGTCCTTTGATTAACTATAGCATGACTTCAAAGCTTAATCAAACGATGAGGCCAAGGCCTTGGCCGAGCGAGATGAGACCGATGCCGAGCGAGAGAAGAGGCTCGCCCACGCCCTCTACATGAGGTTTTACCGATCAGTTCGCAGTGACTCGAATGCAACAAACCCCAAAACCTACAAATGCAACAAACCCGAAAACCTACAATACAAGACAAGCCCGTCATGCTTATATTCTAATTTGATCAGAATCATCGATCTCGCCTATTTAAAAACAGCTAGCCCCGAGCTTAAGCACCACACCGGTCCCTAACAGCCTAAACTATATATGGATATGTAAATTCAACCCCCGGAGACCAAAAACCTAAACCCCAATCGAACTCGCGATATAGCATATAAGCCCCCGACTGCTACACACCAAGCCCGAATAAGCTTCTAAGGGATTGTGTCGGATACGGGATATGTAGCTAACGCTAGCCAGATCGATGTGCGATAAGGCAATACGTGCCCACAAGAGATCAGCTCCCTTGCATTGAAGAACAAGGGCAGTGCTTTGGCTTCACATTGGAATCATCTTGCTACACATAGGGGCGGCTAGTAACATAGGGGTCTTTGTGTTTACGTGGGCGATTTAATAGTCCAAGATGGGAAAGTCCTATCCGGACTATTCGACGAGTATCTCCAAACGGCCGGTGATTGGATGAACTCAACTTTGACCCAGCGGCTCAAGAAGACGGCATCCACCGAGGCCTTGGGCGAAGAGGCTCTTATTCCGTTTAAGGAACTTCGCGAACAGTACGGCGCGAACGTTGCAAAGCAAATGCGCCACCAGAAGCAGCAGCTACAGTCCCGAGCAAAGCCCGGGGATGAGCCCTACATCCTTGACCACCCCGATCTTCCTGGCAACGAGGCCCCCCATCACCCCAAACCCTAAACCCTACACCCTAAACATAAGCAGATATATTTGTATCTTACTTAAATCAATAAATCAGGACTTCCAGCTGATTCGAGTCTGGCGAGCCACGACTTTCAAAAAACGGGCCACGGAAGAGGCGGAACAGGAGCACAAGGCGAAAGTTGATCTTGACGGTGCCCAAACGAAGGGCTTGATGTCACGGGGCTCATTTCATATCTACATGGTTTCGAATCTAAATTAATCCTAGCTAAACCTAAACCCGAATAAGATTACTACCCAACCAGAATTCCCAATGTATGATCAAAGCGCCGACCCTAGCCCTCCCAAGGGCAAATTTCCTGGCTGGCCCGGATGCTGCTGGAGGGCAAGGTTTCTCTGCACTTCCCGCACAGCATGATGCGACCGAGTTTCTGCCACTCCCGAAGCAGGAGCCGAAGCCTAGAACGGCATCGGCTCTTGGTAAGGCCAAGCAGAAGGATATCATTGCTAAGCAAAGTGAGTGCAAGAACTTGATTACGAATGTGAAGAAGGCATCCGAGCTGTTGTTGCTAGGCTACGCATATGCCTAAGAATATATTGTTTTGTCCCAGGAAGCGATATATCGTATGATTCGGTCTACGTACCAGTAAGGTCTGAGCATCTCCGTACCGGGTACGAGAAGGAGCTCAACGACCATTGGAACAAGCTAGAGCAAGCCCACCTAGGACTGGGGGAGGCTTTGAAGGCCGAGGATGATGAGCAGATCAACCTTCAGGTTACGGAAGCTGGCAAGGTCATTGATGCCATGGTCAAGGGTGCATTCAAGACGATTAAGCCACAGTTGGTGCCCTGTCTTGTACCATATTGCTAAGCCCCTATGAGTTTTATCACCTTGTGCCCAATATCCTAGTGAAAATCCACATTGCCCGAACTCTAGCACCCTAGACCCTAATTATTATTGCAAAGCCGAAATGGGCAGCACCCCAAGGCCCGAAGCTTCAAACCCCACAAAGCCTTAAATCCTAAAGACCCGGAGCCGCAATCCCTTCGAGACCGAGGTGACTAAATTCAATTGGTGAGCGCAAGTGTCCCATAGCGCCAGCCCTGCCAAGCCCCTAAGCCCAAATCCCGAACCCCACAAACACAATACCGTTTGTATCGCCCGGCAAACACCCGAAAACTCAAATACAATCCTTAGGCCTAATTGATTGCCGAGAGGGACAAAACCCAGGCCCGAAAACCCAAGCCCCACGAAACCCCTTTCAAAGCCGAAGTGGACGGAACTTCCAGCCCGAAGTCCTTAAACCAAAAGAAAACCCTAGCCCCAAAGCCCGGAACCCGTATCCTATAATAAATACCCTAAAACACAACCCCTCTCAAAGCCCAGGTGGAGAAGAAGCGGCCCGATGCCAAGTCCAAGCCGCAGGCCAAGAAAGGTGCTGGAAGCAAGGCAGTGCAGAAGAAAGCAAAGTGAGTGCCCGCTGCAGCCATGCTCCTCATGATCAATTCGTTGGGGAGCTTTTGATGGCTCTCGGTTTTGATTTCGGGATGTTGGCAGGGTGTGCAGTGCTTACAATATAGAACTCGAATTGTCTAAGATACTGCTCCCTTTTAAGGATCAATCCCACTAAACCATGCAGGGTATTGGCTACTGTACAGGATCCCCGCCAACTGGGTATGCAATATGCGTGTGGTTCGCCACATACGTATATATGCCGTGATGAACATGTGCGACTCTTCGCATGTGCTGCTTCAATCGTGGGTTCGCCCCGCTTACCAAATCTTAAGCTGTCCTGTGAGGGGAAAAAATCTGCATGCGAGCCCATCCTAGAGCGATCCCTTGCTTCAATTGCATTGGTGCACTGCTACGAACATGATACTCTACTTCCGGTTCCCACACCTGATCCCACAACGCAGGTTTGCAGTCTACTCCGGGGCCGATGGTGAACTTCCTCCTCCAAGAAGCTGGCCGTGGCGACGCTAGATCATGAGAGTTGATTTGGTTGCATTACGGGCATAGCAGTGTAGTTCGGGTTAGCCCAGGAGATGAGCTACACCAAAGTACGAACAGTGGCTAAAGTGCTGAAGAAGGACCTCCGGGTGCATCTTGTAGAGGTGATGATCCAGATGTAGATTCCTGTCCAGCAGGAGCTCAAACAAACGTATGGAATCGATGAGGTGCAGGGGGGTGTCAAGTCGGTGGAAAGCATCTCACACGCAAAGAATGCTCAGCGAGACTTGCTTCGCCGATACCCCTGCTCTGCAGCTACATTGCAGTTAGGGTTTAGGCCTGGGTATTTAGGGTTTATGGGCTTTAATTATAATAAGTATGTTTGGCTGAGCTAAGGTTCCGATCCGATATATCGATGTACCTCTTCGAAAATCAATGCGGGATGATCGTGTGGTGGTGAAGATACTCATCTGCATCCTATAATCAGCAGCAGATTCGTGTACAAGTGTGCCCGGTTGCAGGCAGATGCCAGTGGTGCTACCACACGAGCTGGTGCCAGAGCTAGCCCGCAAGGGATTGCTTCCAGCAGCCGATGTTGACAAGTTCTGGACGCACGCGGCGTCGACTGGTGTTGACTGGGGCCGCGAGCACCCGGCCACTCATCGGCACAGGCCAATGGGATTGTACGGCGACGACTGCCAATTTGACGAAAACCAGAATGCTCTAGTGGTGGTCACACTCAACGACATCCTAAGCGAGGCGACTCACAGTATGGCATCCACCTGGCCATTGTTCGTTTTGCGCGATGCTTATTGGTTGGCACTTATCAGCCTATATATTTTTAGTTTAGATCGTACATCGGATCCTATACGGACGAACCACGACACCTATAGCCCTAAACCCTAAACCCTAAACCCCAAACCCTAAACCCGCTATACAATTGCCTCATGAGGCTCTCAGCACTGGGTTCGAGACAATGCAGGCCTACTGGAAAGCCGTGGCTTGTTTGATCATATTTCGCATAGATCTTTCAACCCTAGGCCTAGGGGTCTATTATTGCAATGCAATTGCAAGCTCAGATTGCAATGTCGATGAACATACTCTTCCACGGCAAGCGGCCAGCAACCCCTATGCACGAGCTACACAGCTTCGACGAGCAGGTTTGGTTGAATGAGGTTCTTCCGAACCTAACCGACGAGCCACTGGCCTCCATCGACGGCACGCCCGTCGTTGCAGCCCTGGCAGAGGTCAGGGGAGACTGGAAGTTTATCAAGGTACCTGCAGCTGGGAGCTTCGAGTACTAGCATAACCAATGGTTTAGGGGAGCTTTGCCGGTTAGGGTTTATACCACTAATTAGTTAATCCGGACTCTAGGGCATAGGGGTGTTTAAAGGGAGAAGTTGATTATTAGTGTTGGGTTTAGCAGGGGCTTCTATTGATGTTGTGACGAGAATAATTCCCAAGGCGATGTTCAACATGTCTGTGGGGTGGCAATGCAAATCGATTTGTTTCCAATGCCACATGACAAACAAAAACTATCTGCAGTTTCCAAGCCAGCTTCTCTCCCTACCGGAACGTGACCGTCAGAGCTTCATGTCTTGCCTCAAACCAGATGAAGATGGTGCCCCTTGTCCACACCTCAGATCCGCATCCGTAATGTTCCAGGGACTGTTGTGCTAAACGTTGCAATTGCAATTGGGGCTTAGGTGCCCTGACTTGGATCCAGGGATTCCATCACCAGCTTATCCGCTGGTGCAGTTTGCATTGCCTAAATCTGGGCTACATTGGCTGGGTCGGAGCATCGACGATGGAGTACTTGTTGCAGCAGGACACATTGTATTGTACTTACTAATGTTAGAGAATGGCAATTTGTTGGTGGCACCCCGGTTCTGTACTTCAACAGGACCACGTGGAATTGTGGGGCAGCCAGGACGAGGGCCTGGCCCAGAGACTGCAAAGGGCCTACCAAGAGTTCACATCCTGGGCAAAAGTTCGGAACATCCAGCAACCTCGCCAAACTCTAGCATGGTTGGTCGGAGTTCTGTACATGTCCCACCTAAACCTAGGCCTGAGTCCCCAAGCCAAAGACCAGCAACCCCATTAATGCAAAAACCCGAAAGTGCTTCTAGATCTATAAGGCACTCACAGCCTCCTTTCAAGACGGGCTTCTTTCGTGGCGGCTCCGAAGACTACCACGCAATGGCAGCCAAGGGCTACAACGAGCCTATGATTATTATTACATTATTAAAGTGTTGATGTGACTGATCGGGTCGAGCATTGATTGTCGATGAAGTGCTATTAAGGCGAGATGCTTGATTGCCTGGATGTCGGATGTTTGCCAGCAACTTCTTGGTATGGTCATGCCCGGTGACCGAACCCTTCGCCTGCTATGCTCCTGTACGTGCCTTGTCTGTCTGCTTGGAAACATAAATTAGTAATGAAAATTATGAAGCTCCTGCAGGTATCATCTAGCTGAACTCATGAATGAGATCGAGCGGAACCCTCGGTACCTGACTGCGGAGGCGGCGGGGAGGATCCAGCAGCTCATAGCTGCTAAGCTGTAGATTGGGTTTAGTCCGGGATTTTTAGGGTTGAGGGGTTTCAGCAGGATACTCCCTGAATTCGAAGCGCGACTCCTAGACCCAAGCCCAAATTATGTAAGTAACGGGAAGACCTAGCTAGCTATTCGTCGATAACCTCACACCCAGGCTTTAATGTTCCCCAAGCCTAGCCAATTAAGCATTACTTCTTATAATTCCAAATTTTGCTTGAACTTCGAAAGCCCCTAGTTATTTATTTATTATAATTTATAAGTTGCATATTGGGTGATCACGTGGGCGGGCTGTATGACCATGAGCATAGTGTATATATAATATTATACCAGGGAGTCGGGATATAAGTAGATCTATATAGTTACACCCAGGACCGCTCCATGACGAGCTACGCTCATCTCGCGAGTGAAGGATTGGCCCAATCAAAGATGGCGTTTCCTCTGAAGCCTAAACTTCACGCGACCCGGTAGCAGTACTAAGTTCATGAATTCTTATGATTTAAACTGCAACAACTGGCATAAACATCGCTATATCCGAAATCAACTGAGGCTGTGCAGGAATTGGGGCGATGGTGCCTCAGAGATCGCTTATGAGCTGCAAATACTTGCGACTATCGGGCTGTGCTTAAAAATACCACACTATACATTACTCCGCAGCAATCCGAGGCATCAACTTCCGTTATTATCACACTTACAAGGATGAGGACCTCAACGGAAGAGTCGTCCGCAACATGGTGGCAGCAGCTAGGTATATGTGTATATGTGTCCTGTTTAAGTATATATTATTTAAACAGCGGCTTGCCGAGGAATTGCGAAGGGAGCCAATGTCAGGAATATGGAAGTCGCTGTGATGCGACGCTACTACTCCTGGCCACTTTCCTTGCATGTGCACATATGTTCGACCGTTTTACGAGCGGGTTAATAATTTCTCCAATACACTTTCTTATTAGGGTACGCAAATATCTAAGGATGGAATACCACGCACGAGAAGGATTCGATGCGCCGGCTACTGTGTAGATCCATGCAAATCATGCAATTGCAAATTTGTAATTTGTTGCGAAGCTTGCGATCGACGAGCCAGCTCCACAAGAAAAAGGAGAACTCCACATTATGAGCC